TCCGAGTGCTTTGTCCTGTAGAAGGCGGTTTGTAGGTAGTAGATAAGGCGCATTCACACTTGAGCGTTTTGTAGCTTGAAGTTGAAGCTTGAGGCTCCATGCACACAGGGCTGGTAATGTTAGCTGTGTAAAGGCACGTTAAAAACGTGAGTTTTTCAGCATTTTTTAATTAGTGTTTAGTAGCGTTTTGCCTTGTTTTTTTGTATTTTTCACATTTGTGTGTTTTTAGCATTTTTTTTACCAAAAAAAAACTCCAAAAACACCGGTTTGCTGCAGTTTACTGTGTTTTTCAGCTAAAAAACTCCTCTAGAAACCCACTAGTCCTGGGTTTTTTTTCCATCCAAAAACGTTGATTCCAGTCTATGTGTGCATGAACACATAGGATAACATGCTGGGGGGTTTACTGGCTGTAGAAAAAAAATGTCAAAAGCCAAAAACAGCCGCTGTAAAAACGTCCCGTGTGCATGAGGACTATTCAGGCGTACCTCGGTTTACGAATTTAATGCTTTCTGCGGGACATTTCGTATTGTCAAAAATGTGTAAACCGAAATGCGGTTTCCCATAGAAATGCACTGAAAACCAATTAATCCATTCCGGTCAGAAAAAAGTTTAAAAAAAGTCTTTTATCTGTTTAAAACTCTTCATAAAGTGCACTTTAAAGGCATAAATACTGTACAGGGACGTGATTAAAAAAAAATTGTAAATGCATTGAAAATCAATTAATCCGTTCCGGGGTCAGAAAAAAGTCTTATCTGTTCAAAACTCTTTATAAAGTTCACTTTTAACCCCCCTGGCGGTATTCCTGAGTGTAGTTCGGGGTAAACTTTTAGTACCAACAGCGGTAACCACTAGCTACACTCAGGAATACACTGCAGGGTTGCTCAGGGATCCTTGCAGCACTTACCTTGTCCTGCGCTCCCGCGATGTCCCCCCTGCAGTGTCCCCGGCCATCTCCTCCAGCCGATGCCGGCTTCCGGGTTCCATTCCCTGCGAGCGTCGGGACGTACGGGGCCGGAACCAGCAGGAAATTCAAAAATTTTAAAAATGACATTCACTCAATACACTAAAATCACATAGTAAAACATTACTGTATCAAACCATTTCACATACATTTTGTCCCGAGTGCTTTGTCCTGTGCCCTGCCTGCATTTTTACTGTTCTTTCTGCCTGGAAACTGAGAAATGTCCATGGCGTCCAAAAAGTGTCCCTTTAGGTCAAAAGCGGTTTTAGACCGGCTAGAGAACAGCGATAGTAAATCAGAACCACTTGCAGAATTGAGTGATAATGATTCATGGGGGAATTTGTCATCAGACACTGAAAACGATTCTGCGACTTTGCTCAGCGATGTGCGAACTTGGCGCTATATTTCAAATTTCAGTGTTTTTGGTTTGATTATATTATTGAATTAAATTTATTATTATTTATATTATTATTTTTATGATTATTAAATTATAATTTATGATTTCGTGTTTCAAGTTTTATCATACCCGGGATGTTTACTAGACTTTTGTTCGGACAGATTTCAGTGAGTTATTCCTAAAAATGACAGGCCTACAATAAAAAAATACATATTGCCATGCAAAAAAATGTACCGCTTTGAGCACAGAAATATGGACATAATCAGTCCGCTAGGGAGGTTAAGGCTACGTTCACACTAGCTTTGTTAGCAGGTGTTAGACAGGCGTTTGGGAAGCATTTTTTAACACTCCTCAAGCGCCTATGAAAAATCTACACATGGCAGCACACAGTGCTGTTCACACTGAAGCATTAGTGTTGCAGCAAAATGCCTCCATGTCGAGTCAGGAGTTGAAGCCTCCCATTCAAGTCTATGATGATGAGGCATTTATGGGGCGTTTGCGAGGCATTTGTGGAGCGTTAATACCATTAAACTTCATTACAGGTGTACCTCGGTTTCCAAATTTAATACGTTCTCCAGGACGTTTCATATTGTCATAACGCGGTTGCATTGAAAACCAATGAACCTGTTCCGGAGGTCAGAAAAAAGTAAAAAAAAAAGTCGCTGTCACTATAGGTCAGTGCCGGTTTTTAAATTTAATTACCGCTCTTTTTTTTCTTCACTATAGCTCAGAGAATCAGCTGTCACTTTCCCCCCAGCTAAAAGAAACAACATTTCCTTTTAGTTTATTTCCCTCAGTTTAAATAAGCAATGTTTCCTTTAGCTCCAGGGAAAGTGTCAGCTAATTCTGTGAGCTATAGTAAAGAAAAAAAAAAAGCCGACAATTGCATTTAAAAACCGGCACTGACATATACCTTGTATTGCGAAAAATATTCGTAAAAAATCAGTAAACCGAGGCATTATTTTCAATGGATTTTAATTCCTAAACCAAAAATAACCGAGGCGTTCGTAAATCGAGGTACACCTGTGTAGGCTTTAACACAAATGCCTCAAAAACGCACGTAGGGTGTTTGGGGAGTGTTAAAAACGCTTACCAAACATCTGTCTAACACTCTAGGGGCGTTTGGCAAGAGTTAGTCAAGTGTGGACGAGCCCTAAAGCTTTTTTTTTTTTTTTCCTTTTTCCCCCAGGGATTTCCCGTCCCATTCCTGGAACAAATTGAGAGTCTGGCTGAGTGTTGTTCAGCCATTCACAGGAAGCCTTGCATTTTTATCAATGAAGCAAGACTTCCTCTGGTTGGCTGAGGTGGTGAGGCGGGCAGATGAAGTTACAATCTTCACTTCAGCCAATCAGAGAAACCTTGTATTCATTGATACAAATACAAGGCTTTCTGTGAATGGCTGAGCGGTGCTCAGCCCATCTTCATTTTGTGGTTCCAGCAGTGGACGGGAAGTCCCCGGAACACAGCACTGTATACTCTATGCTATATACAGTTTATAAAGCGCTGACAATGGCCACAACAAACAAACTAAAGTGAAAGTTAGGGTGGAGTCTGGCTCTAAAGCCATGGTGTCCACCATGCAGACTGCCAATGGGGTGGGGGCTAACACTGTTACTACCATGACCGTCAATGCAGGAGGGGGACGGGAGGGGGTTTAACTTTTACACTGCCATGGGGTGGGGGGGGGACAGTTAACACTTTCACTGACATAACCACGAATATAGAAGGGGGATGGGTGTTTGGTGTTTAAAATGCTTTCACTACCATGACCACCAATATGGAGGGGGGGGGGGGGGAGAGCTATCACTGCCATGATCATCAATGCAGAAGGGGAGGAGATTAAAATTTAAATTAAAATTAAATTTTCTGCCATGACCACCAATACAGGGGGATTGGATGATTAACTTGCTACGACCCCCAATACTGGGAGAAGTTTAACTTTCACTGCTATGACCACCAGTTTGGGAGGGGTTAACTTTCACTGCCATGACCACCAGTTTGGGAGGGGTTAACGTTTACTGTCATGATCACCGGTTTGGGAGGGGTTAACTTTCACTGCCATTATCACCAGTTTGGGAGGGGTTAACGTTTACTGTCATGACCACCGGTTAGGGAGGGGTTAACTTTCACTGCCATGACCACCAGTTTGGGAGGGGTTAACTTTCACTGCCATGACCACCAGTTTGGGAGGGGTTAACTTTCACTGCCATGACCACCAGTTTGGGAGGGGTTAACTTTCACTGCCATGATCACCAGTTTGGGAGGGGTTAACTTTCACTGCCATGACCACCAGTTTGGGAGGGGTTAACTTTCACTGCCATGATCATCAGTTTGGGAGGGGTTAACTTTCACTGCCATGATCAACAGTTTGGGATGGGTTAACTTTCACTGCCATGATCATCAGTTTGGGAGGGGTCAACTTTCACTGCCATGACCACCCAGTTTGGGAGGGGTTAACTTTCACTGCCATGATCACCAGTTTGGGAGGGGTTAACTTTCACTGCCATGATCATCAGTTTGGGAGGGGTTAACTTTCACTGCCATGATCATCAGTTTGGGAGGGTTAACTTTCACTGCCATGATCAACAGTTTGGGAGGGTTAACTTTCATTGCCATGATCATCAGTTTGGGAGGGGTTAACTTTCACTGCCATGATCACCAGTTTGGGAGGGGTTAACTTTCACTGCCATGATCACCAGTTTGGGAGGGGTTAACTTTCACTGCCATGATCACCAGTTTGGGAGGGGTCAACTTTCACTGCCATGACCACCAGTTTGGGAGGGGTTAACTTTCACTGCCATGATCACCAGTTTGGGAGGGGTTAACTTTCACTGCCATGATCATCAGTTTGGGAGGGGTTAACTTTCACTGCCATGATCATCAGTTTGGGAGGGTTAACTTTCACTGCCATGATCAACAGTTTGGGAGGGTTAACTTTCATTGCCATGATCAACAGTTTGGGAGGGGTTAACTTTCACTGCCATGATCATCAGTTTGGGAGGGTTAACTTTCACTGCCATGATCACCGGTTTGGGATGGGTTAACTTTCACTGCCATGATCACCAGTTTGGGATGGGTTAACTTTCACTGCCATGATCACCAGTTTGGAAGGGGTTAACTTTCACTGCCATGATCAACAGTTTGGGAGGGGTTAACTTTCACTGCCATGACCACCAGTTTGGGAGGGTTAACTTTCACTGCCATTGACTATTGGTATATGATAGGCTAGATTCACAATGCAGAATTGCGATTCAATGCGATTATGTAGTGCGACTTTGATGTGACTTTTAATTAATTTTGGATGTTGTTTGAATATTCTTTGGGACCAAATTGCACTGTAAATCGCACCAAGTAGCACAGGAATCTTTTCTAAAATTGCAATGCGTGGAGTCCAATTGATGTGATCAGGCGTCATTGAAAATAATGAGATTTCCCTCGTCATGCAGTTTTGTGTGACTTAAGTCACATATGAAATGACACTTAATATTAGTACTGACACCAGTGCTGGGGGTTATTTTTGCAGCCACTGACACCGATGCCGGGGGTATTGTATTTCAACTTCTTCAGTGTGCATTGCGATACACTGCAATAAATGCAACAGGGCAGAAATTTTTGGGCGTCGAGGTGCAAAAATGCGCTTCCAGGGGCGGACTGACCATTTGGAAACTCTGGCCCTGCCCAAGGGCCCGGGGTCAGTAGGGGGCCCCATGAGATGTCCCTGGTACCTTTTTCATAGGCTTTTTTGAGTTTGGGCAGAGACACAGGGGCCCCATGATCCCCTATTGCCCGGGGGCCCCATGAGTTGTCAGTCCGCCCTTGTGCGCTTCTATTGTGCTACCTAGTGGAAGTGACGGGAGCCACCCTTGAGGCCCTCTAGAATTCTCCAGTTAACCACCACTGCTCTAAAGGCTCTTTTCATAAACTGCAGACGGGGCCCAGTAGTTAGCACCATTTGTAAAAATATCAGATGGAGTACCTGCAGGCCTTTTCTCTCACCCATGGAGCCTGGCCCAAATACACCCAATGTTTACATTCCTACTCCTTGGCTTACATCTGGGACATGACAGACATCGGGCAGCATTGCAGGAGCCAACGCTCTTGCCAATTCAAAAGCTGCGTCTGCGCAGTGCGCTGTCTTTTCCTCTATCCTAGTGCTGAGCTCAGCCGCTGCTGCTACAGGAAGACAGAGAGCACACACTACACTCTTGCTGCTGCCATGCTGGAATGAGTTTAAAGTGGAGCTCCACCCAAAAGGGGAAGTTCCACTTTAAGGCTTTGTCCCCCACTCCCCATTAAGGATTGGCACTTTTGGGGAGTGGGGGAAAGAGGGGGTACCCTATTTTGACAGGTACCTGCTCCCACTTTGGATGCGATCGCTAGGCGATCAGAAGTGAAAGTTTTCTTCCCCCCTCCCCGTAATCTCCTGAGACCCATGACAGGTCCCAGAAGACTATGGGACTGTTTGCAAAGCTCAGCGCTTCTCGCTTTTGTATTTCCGGGTAGGGAGTGCGCGCTCCCTACCTGCCCCGCTATTGGCTCTTCTGCATGTCAATCACCGGGTCCCAGCCATCAGTTTGGCTGGGACCCGGTGATCGTCGGAGGACCTTACAGGGGAGAGGTAAGAGGTAAACAACACAGATCTCTCACCTGCCAGCACGAACAGGCTGCTTTGTATTGCTCCGCTGTGCAGAGCAATACAAAGCAGCTTGTCTACATAATAAAAACACACACAGCACATTATGTAAAACAGCATACAGTTACCCCTTTGATCGCCCCAGATGTTAACCCCTTCCTGCCCAGTGCCATTAGTATAGTGTCAGTGCTTTTTATTAGCACTGATCACTGTATTGGTGTCAGTGAGGATGTCAGTTTCCCGCAAGTGTCAGAATGCTCGCCACAGTCCCGCTATAAGTCAACGATTGGCGCCATTACTAGTATAAAAAAAGTAAAAATAAAACTTCAAGTATCTATACCGCCATTTGACGCTATAACTTTCACATAAACCAATTAATTTACATGTATTGGGATTTTTTCTTAGCAAAGACATATCGCAGAATGCATTTTAGCCTAAATTTATGAAGAAATTTTTATTTTTTTTTATTTTTTTTTTCACTGCATGTTTTATAGCAAAAGGTCACAAATATTGTTTGTTTTTTTTTTTTTTCAAAATTGTCGGTCTTTTGTTGTTTATAGCGCAAAAAATTAAAAATGCAGAGGTCATCAAATCCCACCAAAAGAAAGCTCTACTTGTGGGAAAAAAGGACGTAAATTTAATTTGGGTGCAGTGTTGCATGACCGCGCAATTGTCAGTTAAATTAATGCAGCGCCGTATCACAAAAAATGGCCTGGTCAGGAAGGGGGGGAAATCCTCTGGAGGGCACATGGTTAAAAGTCAGCAGGTACAGTTTTTGTAGTTGTTGACTTTTATTTTTTTAAATTCTGACAGGCCCTCCGCTTTAAATGACCCCAGCAAGTATATCCTGATGCAGAGTAAGGTGTCCACTCACCAGCATTTATTCTAAACATTGATTACTAGTAAAAAGTCATATTTTCCTCTCTCACTCTTTAGGTCCATGGGGGGCTCCTACAAATCTTCCCAGAAGGCCGATCAGTTGTAGCCAATATTGAGCCAGTGTTTGACCGTCTGTTGATATTCTGGTCTGATCGGCGAAATCCTCATGAAGTAAAACCAGCCTATGCCATGCGGTGAGTATCTCTGTCCAGATACATATTGGGGGAGATTTACTAAAACTGGCGCACACAGAATCTGATGCAGCTGTACATAGTAACCAATCAGCTGCCTTAGGCTGCGTTCCCACTTGTGCAACTCCAATGTCACGCTGTTTCCAGTGCGACTTTTAATATGACTTTGATGCCACCTTACACTCTCTGGCAACTCAAGTTGCATCAAAGTAATTATTAAAAGGATAAAAAGTAAGTATCATACTCACAATGGACATACAGGACAAAGGCACATCGCACTAAACAGCGGTGTCCAATCCACACTGCACAGAAGTCCAACAAATGGAAACATGGACTTCCAACAGGCTAACGCGTTTTGAGGACTAATGCAGGCCATAGACGGGTCCAAAACCGGCTGGTTTTTTTTTATAATAAAAAAGAAAAATCGGTCGTTCAATAGGCCGACGTTACCACCAACAGTAAAAAAAAAATCGGCGGATTTTCGTCCCATCTACGGCCAGCATTTAATTACTTCTGTCCCTGCAGAGAGCTCCGCTATTATATTTGATATGAAAAAGTATTGCGGTTGCAACAATGTATCTATTTGTATCCATTTCGGATACAGATGGTTTTATTCGAATACAAATAGATACATTGTTGCAACCGCAATACTTTTTCATGTCAAATATAATAGCGGACTGGAATTCTCCTCCTCCTCTTCCTCCTCCTTCTCTTCCTCCTCCTCCCCCCAGATTTTTTTAACGGTAAAAAGATCGGCTGATTTGCCCATCATTTGCTGGGAAAATCGGCCGATTTTTTTTCCAACTTCACCGATAAAAAAAAGTGCCAAAACCCTGAAAAAATTAACCCATTAACGGTGCGAAAATTGGCCGATTTTCGACCCGTCTATGGCCTGCATAAGTCCTCAAAATGCGTTAGTAAATGAACCTGTTGGAAGTACAGGGTTCAACCCCTAACGCGTTTCGAGGACTCAGCCTCTTCCTCAGGGCTCTGATTAAGAGGCTGAGTCCTTGAAACGTGTTAGCCAGTTGGAAGTACAGGGTTCAACCCTCTAACGCGTTTCGAGGACTCAGCCTCTTCCTCAGGGCTCCGAGGAAGAGTCTGAGTCCTCGAAATGCGATAGAAATTAACCAGTTGGTTCAGGGTTCAACGTGCTAATGCGTTTCAGGGCTCTGAGGAAGAGGCTGAGTCCTCGAAATGCGATAGAAATTAACCAGTTGGTTCAGGGTTCAACGTGCTAATGCGTTGCAGGGCTCTGAGAAAGAGGCTGAGTCCTTGAAACGTGTTAGCCAGTTGGAAGTCCAGGGTTCAACGTGCTAACGCGTTTCAGGGCTCTGAGGAAGAGGCTGAGTCCTCAAAACGCGTTAGAAATTAACCAGTTGGAAGTCCAGGGTTCAACGTGCTAACGTGTTTCAGGGCTCTGAGGAAGAGGCTGAGTCCTCGAAACGTGTTAGCCAGTTGGAAGTCCAGGGTTCCATATTTTGGACTTCTATGCAGTGTGGATTGGACACCACTGTTTAGTGGTTTAGTGTGATGTGCCTTGTATTTCCTGTGTGTCCATTGTGAGTATGATACTTGCTTTTTATCCTTTTTTAATAAATATTTTTTACGATAATGCACTAGGCCAGTGCGCCCTCTTTTTGTTTTCTTTGTATCCACTGACTTTGGACTACCCTGGTCCATTGAGGGCAGCAAGGAGTGCATATTCCAGGACATCTGAATTGTTACCATAGCCTCTGCTGAGTCATCCATCTCCAGCGCAGGAGTACAGAGTTTGCTGTGTTTGCATCAAAGTAGTGCAGGAACCTTTTGCAAAGTCATTGCGACTTTTGAGTCGCAGAGATCCAAATGTGTGCTATTGAAAACAATGGACTTGTCATGTGACTGTGTTCAAAGTTACACGACAAGTCACACAAGTGTGAACGGAGCCGATGCTGACACATCATGATGCTTTTTTTTTTTTTTTAAATTGCTGAACGACAATTTTGCATTGCCAAACCATGCCGCAACTTCAAGCCAAGCGTTTCGCTGGCAGTTGCAGCATGGCTCCATTCACTTACATAGGAGAGTTTGTCAAACTGCCAAACAATTGCCACACCATGCTGCAAAGCATCGTGACCGCGGCAATGTGTACTCAAAAGGCATGTCCAGTTGTAGGTGGGGGGTGGTAAAAACATGCATAAACCACTTTTTTTTTTTTTTCTGAAGCTGGTGCAGCTCTGCATAGCAACCAATCAGCTTCTAGGTATTGTCAAAGCTTAATTGAACAAGCTGGCGTTAAAAGCTGATTGGTTTCTATGCACAACTGCACCAGTCTCTGTGTGCTCCAGTTTTAATAAAGCTCCCCCTTTTGAGTACCTATAAAACGTGTCTGTAGTCATGCATTCACAGAGCTATACCTTGCTATAAACTATATGAATAGTCAAAACTTTCTTTGTTTTTTTGCTTTTTTTTTTTGTTTTGGATAGAGTAAGAAAGGGGCAAAACCCTGCTACAGTCTGTGCACTGTATCTTCACCCCCCCCCCTTCCCAAATCCATGTTATTATGTTATTGCAATGAGAAACACAGAAGACGTATGGCATCCATCCAGATCAGGGGAGCAGTTTACAGTGACAACGCCCATCCTCAATACTTAAAGTACAGTGAGTGTTGTCACCCTTGGACAGGAAGTGTGTTACTGGTAGGATCACCAGGAGAAAATGCAGGAAAAAAGCCAGAAAATTGAAACTTTTGCAGCCACCATTTGTAGACTAAATTGGGAATTCAGTTTTTTTAAATTCAGTTTTTTTTGTTTTGGCATTTATATAAAGTTTAAGATGAATTTGAGGGTTTAGGTTATGACTTTATTCTGGCATAGTGTATAGTGACACTCCTCTGTTTTTCTTCTCCATTCACAGGTATGCAATTACTGTCTGGTATTTTGATGCAAAAGAACGATCAGAGGCCAAAGATAAATACAGATTAGGTAAGAGGAGAGACTATCGGTTGCCTTGTAAAATCATAGGTTAGAAATAAATGTTGGCTTCTAACTGACAGCTGCACAGGAACGTAGGACAGTCCTGCAGAATGGGAAGGACACAGAATTGAGAGATTTACTAAAGCGGAGTTCCAGTGAAAATAAAAAACAAATAAATGTCAGCAGCTTCAAAAACTTAGCTGCTGACCTTTAAAAAATAGACACTTACCTGATCCTCGATCCCGTGGTATCCCCCCCCCCCCCGCAGTGATGTGTTCCTAGCGCCGGCATCTTCAGTGTGGGCACCTGGCTGTGATAGCTTGCGGCTTCACAGCCGGGTGCCCACTGCGCATGCGCGAGAAGCGCTGTGCTTTGTGAATGGGCCCCGTAGTCTTCTGGGACCTGTCATGTGTCCCAGAAGACTACGGGGAAGGAGGGGGGAGGACAACTTCCGCTTCTGATCACCTATGCGATCTCAGCGGAAAGTGGGAGCGGGTACTTGTCAATTTCAGGTACCCACTCCCCAAAGGTGCCAATCCTTAATGGGGAGCGGGGGACCAGTCCTTAAAGCGGAACTTCCCCTTTTGGGTGGAGCTCCGCTTTAAAGTGATACTAAAGCCTTGTTTGTTAATAAAAAAACAAACTACTTGCCTGCTCTGTGCAGTGGTTTTGCACAGAGCAGCCTGGATCCTCCTCTTCTCGGGTACCCACTGGCGATCCTGGTCTCTCCCTCCTGTCGTGTGCCCCCATAGCAAGCAGCTTGCTATGGGGACACCTGAGCAGGCATGCTCCTGAACCGTGTCCATTCACACACAGAGGCGCTGCTCGGCCTTGCCCCCTCCCTCTCCTGATTGGCTTACTGCCTGTGATTGATTCAGCCTCAGCCAATCAGCAAGCAGCTTGCTATGGGGGCACTCGAGCAGGCACACTCCTGATTTGTGTCCATTCACACACAGAGGCTCTGCTCAGCCTTGCCCCCTCCCTCTCCTGATTGGCTTACTGCCTGTGATTGATTCAGCCTCAGCCAATCAGCAAGAAGCTTGCTATGGGGGCACTCAGCAGGCACACTCCTAAGCATTCACACACTCCTAATCCTTGTCCATTGGCTTTCACACACAGCAGCTTGCTATGGGGGCACCCAAGCAGGCACGCTACTGCTCGGTCCCTTGCCCCCTCCCTCTCTTGATTGGCTTACTGGCTGTGATTAACTCAGCCTCAGCCAATCAGCAAGAAGCTTGCTATGGGGGCAGCCGAGCATCCACACTCCTGAGCCGTGTCCATTCACACACAGAGGCTCTGCTCGGCCTTGCCCCCTCCCTCTCCAGATTGGCTTACTGGCTGTGATTGACTCAGCCTCAGCCAATCAGCAAGCAGCTTGCTATGGGGGGAACCGTGCATCCACACTCCTGAGGCGTGTCCATTCACACACACAGGCTCTGCTCGGCCTTGCCCCCTCCCTCTCCAGATTGGCTTACTGGCTGTGATTGACTCAGCCTCAGCCAATTAGCAAGCAGCTTGCTATGGGGCACCCGAGCAAGCACACTCCTGAGCCATGTCCATTCACATACAGAGGCACTGCTCGGCCTTGCCCCCCTCCCTCTCCTGATTGGCTTACTGGCTGTGATTGACTCAGCTAATCAGGAGTGTAAGTCCCTGGAGAACTGCGTCTGTCATGGACATTGCTGGATCGGGATGGGGCTCAGGTAAGTGTTGGGGGGGGGGGGGGGGGCGCTGCTACACACAGAAGGTTTTTTAAAAAAACCTTGAACCTTTAGAACCACTTTAATTAAGTTGGAGGTTTTCACATCAGTGGGTACCAAAGTTTGCACCAAGCTTGGAGAGCAGTGACAACCTTCAGATTTGTTCACAAACTTTGCACTTGATTCTGTGGATCTGCTTTGTTCGTTGGCCTCGTGTTGACCAGACAAGGCCTTGGAGCCATGGTGAGAGCAGTGCTTGGTGGACACTTTCTCCAGTTCCTTTGGTGACAACAGTGATCTTGTTTATTTAATATGATGAACACTTTTATATAATTGCTGCTCACTGTTGTTGTTTATTACAGTAAATATAGAGAAATCTCCACTAGAGGGAGTTGTCAGCAGCTCAGGGCAGTTACACTTATTTTCTCTTAAAGTGTATGTTAGGTTAAAACTTTTTTTTTTTTTTTTATGAAAGTTTTATATAGAGTGAGGAAGGATAAGAACCCCTGTCAGATTTTTACTGTTATCCAGTGCTCCAAGAACTTCTCGCACCTTCTGTCCTGGTGACAATGGTTTCACCAAACCAGAATCTTACAATAAATGCTTGAAGAATAACTACAGGTATGGATACTGATCTAGCTTGGACCAATGTAATTATTCATACAGTATACCTGGCCGATGCGGCTCAAAGCTGGAAAACACTGAAGTAAACACTGCTACTCCAGTGATCTCCACTAGCTTCCATGTCCGCTGACAAGTGGCTGCCCTGCTGCATTACTAACACAGGAGGTTAGCCGCTTGGCACGAAGAGAATGCTTTGCAATTTCTGAATGAATGCAAAGCTTTCTCTGATTGGATGAGGTGGAGAGCATGACCTCACTGACCTGCCTCTCCAGCTTGTCCAGTCAGAGAAACACTTTGCATTCATTCAGAAATTGCAAAGCATTCTCTGAATGGTGACCGTGCTGAGCAGTCGACCTCCTGTGTTCAGAGTACAGCAGAGCAGCTGTTCAGCATGGGAGCCGGAAGCAAGTGGAGATCACTGGAGTAGTGGTGTCAGTGATTTCGCTGTGTCCAGGGACATGGGTCAGGGATTGCATATACTGTACACAGTTGGTCCAAGCTGGAACAATGTAACTATGCATAAAATATCCATACCTGGTATCCTTCTTTAACCCCTTCCCACCTACACTTCCTGGCCCTTTAGGAGGATTCAGATGCCGGAAGGAGGAGGCAGGCATTTCGGTCATGTGACCGCCGTGATTGGCTGTCACATGATCGGAAAGCTCCTGATCGCAAATAGAGATTGGGAGCTTTTGTTACCCATGGTAACTGTGCCGGGAGCATGCAGGGAGCACACTATCAGCACATCATTCTTTACATTTTGGTACACATATATATGCAGCCTCTCGGCATCGAGGTCCACCTGCCGATAGCCCACGGTAAGGGGTTAAGGTAACAAGCTGTAGGCAGTTATTTCAGACCAAAATATATGACCCAAATATCTTCCTTCCTTCTATAGAGGTGATAGATAACTATATTGCCAAGAGTATTGTTCGGCCGGCCTTTACACACACATGAACTTTAATGGCCTCCAGTCTCAGTCTGTAGGGTTCAATATTGAGTTGGCCCCGCCCTTTGCAGCTATAACAGCTTCAACTCTTCAGGGAAGGCCGTCTACAAGGTTTAGGAGGGTGTCTATGGGAAGGTTTGACCATTCTTCCAGAAGCACATCTGTGAGGTCAGGCACTGATGTCGGGGGAGGAGGCCTGGCTCAGAGTCTCCACTCTAATTCATCCCCAAAGGTGTTCTATGGGGTTGAGGTCAGGACTCTGTGCAGGACAGTCAATTCCTCCACCCCAAACTCAAAATGTCTTATGGACCTGGCTTTGTGCACTGGTGCCAGTCATGTTGGAACAGGAAGGGGCCATCCCCAAACTCTTCCCACAAAGTTGGGAGCATGAAATTGTCCAAAATGTCTTGGTATGCTGACATCTTAAGAGTTCCCTTCACTGGAACAAGGGGGCCAAGCCCAACCCCTGAAAAACAACCCCACACCATAATCCCCCCTCCACCAAACTTTACACTTTGCACAATGCAGTCAGGCAAGTACTGTTCTCCTGGCAACTTCCAAACCCAGACATGCCCATCGAATTGCAAGACAGAGAAGCGTGATTGGTCACTCCAGAAAACACGTCTCCACTGCTCTAGAGTCCAGTGGCAGCATATGCTTTACACCACTGCATTCGCCACGCTTTGCATTGCACTTGGTGATGTAAGGCTTGGATGCAGTTGCTCGGCCATGGAAACCCATTCTATGAAGCTCTCTACACACTGTTGTGCTAATCTGGAAGTTTGGAGTTCTTTAGCTGTTGGCTCTGCAGACAGTTGGCGACTTCTGCGCACTGTGCGCTTCAGCATGCGCTGACCCCCCCGCTCTGTCATTTTACGACGTGGCCTACCACTTGTGGCTGAGTTGCTGTTGTTCCCAGTTGCTTCCATTTTGTTATAATACCACTAACAGTTGACCATGGAATATTTAGTAGCCAGGAAATGTCACGGACGGACTTATTGCACAGGTGACAACCTATCACGGTACCACGCTTGGAGTCACTGAGCTCCTGAGAGCGACCCATTCTTTCACAGATGTTTGTAGAAGCGTCTGTATGCCTAAGTGATGATTTTATACACCTGTGTCCATGGAGGTGATTGGAACACCTGAATCCAATGATTTGGAGGGCGGGGCCAATACTTTTGGCAATATAGTGTACGTTGTAAGCAATTAGCCATTCCTGAAAATTGTGAGAGTTTTCATGGTGTAACCTTTTCTTTTTTTCCGTCTCCTCTTCCAGCCAGTGGCCAGAAAGGAATTCAGGTTCCCGTCTCTCATGGCGGCACCGTGTGATGGGAGGGCCAGCAAATCTCCAAGCGGTCTTTCTGCGGGGGCCTCTGTGGAATCGAAAGCTGCTATCACCCTGCCAAGGGCTGAGCGTCGGTTGTCGGGCACAGCGGAAGAGCCTACCTGCGGCTGTGGAGATCTCGCTGCCGTCTATTAGATTTGCCCGTTTGGCCTACAAGGATTTTTTTGAAATGTGAATATAGGACATGCAGATGGGGTTGCATTCTGCAGAGCATTGCACAGGGGTGGCACCTGGTATCTGCAGACTGGTTCAGAATTATTGAATGTTCATGAAAACGTTGCACAAGGAGCTGGGGCCGGGAGGAAGGCATCGGGGGTCTCTCCTGAATTTTTATGTGTTTGTCCATGATCTGTTCTAGGAGGCGGAAGAGAAGTCAGAATCCGATATGGGGTATTCTAAAAGAGGGGGATACAGAAGATATCGAAGACCTACCACGGGAGAGATGCTAACAAATGTGAATGAATATAAAACATACTGTATGACAGTATAGAGGACAAGAATAAAATACAAAGAAAACATGTTAAATATGGAAAAGAGCTACTGGTAACATTTGCAGGAGTGTAAATTAAATGGGATGTTCACACCAAGCAGATTGCTGATCCCGGATAAAAAACAAAATCTGCACATTTTTGCTACATTGCCCTTCGTTGACTCATTCATGTCTATGGAATTAAATCTGTACGTCAAAATGAATGGCAGTGCATATGAATGCGGCCATTTTAGAATAAAGACAATATCAAGTGCCCATGCCGAGCAGAGATATAACAGATGTATTTACAGCATATTTCCACAATACAGTCACATTTGAGAAAATCCCTTGATATGTTTGTGTTCCCATTCACACAGCATGCCTATTTAAAAAAAAATTTTTTTGTAAAGATTTCTTATCTTTTTTTAGATGTTTCTCAGGAGGTAGTGTCACGGCTGACTGCAAGGTTTTTTGAAAGTGACGTTGAGTGAGCCTGACCCAAGTCTGTCCTCATTAACAACCTACATGCAAGAAAGCCCAGCCTCTACACTTTTGACCTTTTGCTAGGACAGACAGGGTTCAAGTCTAATTACAATTGATGATGAAGAGCTGGCCTGCACAGTATAGGCAGGGTTAAGTATGGCAAACAAAAGCAAACTACTTTTTTTCTTGCTGGAGGGTCCAGAATAGAGCTTGTAAAAAAAAAGGTGAGCTAATGTAATTTTGTTAACCACTTTAGGACCGCCCACCCGCATTGTACTGAGGACGGGTGGCTCCTACAGGCACAGTGTCCGTATCTGTACATCGCTCCCTGCATCCACATTCTGCACAGCAGGGAGAAGGAACAAATAGATTTTTTAGTAAAAAAGCAGCACATAATCCACACATTAACACTTAGGCATTCGCTTAACCCCTTGACTACCCGGAGATGTTAACCCCTTCCCAGCCAGTGTAATTAGTATAGTGACTGTGTATAGTATAACTAATCAATCTATTAGTGTTACTGATGTCAGTGTCAGTTCCCTTCCAGTGTCAGTTAGTGCCAGATTGCCTGCCGCACTATCACGGTCCCACTATAATTCCCTGATCACCGCCATTACGAGGAAAAAAAAAAAAAATCCAGTATATATACCATGGTTTATGCTATAACTTTCACACAATCTATATACACTTATTCTGATTTTTTTTTTGTACCTGAAATTTATGAAGTAATTTTATTTTTTTACTGAATATGTTTTATAGCAGAAAGTAAAAAATATTTTTTTTCAAAATTTTCGGTTTCGTTTATATAATAATACAATAAAAAAAACCCATGGTGATCAAATACCACCAAAAGAAAGCTCTATTTTGGTGAAAAAACTGATGATATAAATTTAATTTGGGTACAGAGTTGCATGACCACGTAATCACCAGTTAAAGTAGCGCAAAAAAAATGACCTGATCACGAAGGAGGTAAAACCTTTCCGGAGCTCAAGTGGTTAAAAAAAAGTTATCTTAGCTTTCTAAATGTTTCCAAGGAGGAGATGTCATGGCTGACTGCCCAGCCCCCTCATAAACAAAGTAAACTACTAGGATTTTTTATTTTTTTTTTGCTGGAGGGTCCACAATAGAGCATGTAAAAAAAGGTACGCTAAGGCAATTTGTTTTAAAAAGCTTTCTTACCTTTTTAGATTTTTCTCAGGAGGAGATGTCACGGCTAACTGCAAGGTATTTTTGAACAATGTTAGAGTGAGCCTGGCCCAGGTCTGTCCTAAGTGAGCCTGGCCCAGGTCTGTCCTCATTAACAAGATGCAATGTAAGAAGCCCAGCCTCTACACTTTGTAACCTTTTATTAGGACAGACCATGCTCAATTCTAATTACACTAGTACCGTTTCCAACAATCATTTATATAAACAGTCATACAAAACAACACATTTTTGCTTTTAACGATTGAATTTGAATTGAATGGACTTTGCTGAACGAAAGCCACATGCACTGTTGGGCCCCATGCACACTCAGCGTTTGCTCAGCTTTTCTGAATGCCAGAAGAAAAGCCGCAACGTCAAACGCTTGGGAATTTATTCGTTTCATTGGCCGGAATGTTAACCTTTTCTGGGAATTGAGGCGAATGAACACTCAATCTCTTTTAGGCGCATCGGACATTTTTTTTTTTTTCCCTGCCAAAGTGCTGTTGCTCCTGAATGCACTGGCAGTGTTTTTTTTTTTTTTTTTTCTGCCTCTAAATGCCTATGTGAGCTGGGACACGTAGGGGGTGACATTGAGGGGCGTTTGAAGGCAGAAAAAAAAAAAAAGCAAGATGCCTCTAAGGTTACTTTTACACTGATTAGTAGCAAAAATCTGTTTTTACTGCCATTGCGGTGCATTTTTTTTTACAGGACATGTGACTCCAAAACTGCACCAAAAACAAACCAGGTGCATTCTTGATGCATTTTTGACTAATGTCAATGGGGAGGTGAGGGTTTTTTTTTTTTTTTTTTTTTTTCTTCTTTTTTTTTTTTAATGCACTAAACCTGCACCAAAAATGCAGCAAGCAGAATAAAAAAAAAAAAACAAAAACGCACCAAACCCACAAAGGATCAGTATGAAGCGTTCCATAGGATTACATGGTCACATGTTTTCTTCTGTTTTTTTAACGCAAAAGGGGCAGTTGGGCAGAAAAAAAAGCAAGATGCATGTAAGGCTACTTTCACACTGATTAGTAGCAAAATTGCAACAAAAATCTGTTCTTACCGCGATTGCGGTGCATTTTTTTTACAGGACATGTGACTCCAAAACTGCCACCCAAAAACACAAAACAGGTGCATTTTTGATGCGTTTTTGCCGCAGTTTTGATTAACTTCAATAGGGAGGTGAGGTTTTTTTTTTTTTTCTTTTTTTTTTTTAATGCACTAAACCTGCAGCAAAAATGCAGCAAACAGAATAAAAAAAAAAAACAGAACAAAAACGCACCAGACCCACAATGGATCAGTATGAAGCGTTCCATAGGATTACATGGTCACATGTTTTCTTCTGCTTTTTTTATGCAAAAGGGGCGTTTGAAGGCAGAAAAAAAAAAGATGCCTCTACGGCTACTTTCACACTGATTAGTAGCCAAAACGCAAGAAAAATCCATTCTCACCGCGATTTCGGTGCATTTTTTTTTTTTACAGGACATGTGACTCCAAAACTGCACCAAAAACACAGAGAAGGTGCATTTTTGATGTGTTTTTTTTTTGCCGCAGTTTTGATTAATTTCAATGGGGAGGTGAGGTTTTTTTTTTTTCTTTTTCTTCTTTTTTTTTTAATGCACCAAACCTGCACCAAAAATGCAGCAAGCAGAATTAAAAAAAAAACAAAACAAAACGCACCAGACCCACAATGGATCAGTATGAAGCGTTCCATAGGATTACATGGTTACATGTTTTCTTCTGCTTTTTTAACGCAAAAGGGGCGTTTGAATGCAGAAAAAAAAGAAAGATGCCTCTACGGCTACTTTCACACTGATTAGTAGCCAAAACGCAGCAAAAATCCATTCTCACCGCGATTTTGGTGTATTTTTTTTTTACAGGACATGTGACTCCAAAACTGCACCAAAAACACAGAGAAGGTGCATTTTTGATGCGTTTTTGCTGCAGTTTTGATTAATTTCAGTGGGGAGGTGAGTGTTTTTTTTTTTTTTTTTTTTTTTTTTTTTTTTTTAATGCACCAAACCTGCACTTAAAATGCAGCAAGCAGAATTAAAAAAAATAAAAACCGCACCAGACCCACAATGGATCAGTGTGGATCGTTGCATAGGATTACATGGTCACACGTTTTTCTTCTGCTTTTTTAACGCAAAAGGGGCATTAGAAGCATCTTGCTTTTTTTTTCTGCCTTCAAAGGCTACTTTCACACTGATTAGTAGCAAAAACGCAGCAAAAATCCGTTCTTACCGCGATTGCGGTGCTTTTTTTTTTTTTTTTACAAGACACGTGACTCCAAAACTGCACCAAAAACACAAAGTCGGTGCATTTTTGATGTGTTTTTGCTGCAGTTTTGATTAATTTCAATGGGGAGGTAAGTTTTTTTTCTGCTTGTTTTTTTTTTTTTAATGCATCAAAAATGCATGAAGCAGAATTAAAAAAAAAAAAACAAAAAACGCACCAGACCCACAATGGATCAGTGTGAAGCGTTCCATAGGATTACATGGTCACACGTTTTCTTCTGCTTTTTTAACGCAAAAGGGGCATTAGAAGCATCTTGCTTTTTTTTCTTGCCTTCAAAGGCTACTTTTTTTAGCAAAAACGCAGCAAAAATCTGTTCTTACCGCGATTGCGGTGCTTTTTTTTTTTTACAAGACACGTGACTCCAAAACTGCACCAAAAACACGAAGTCGGTGCATTTTTGATGTGTGTTTGCTGCAGT